GGGGGGGGGCAACAGTGGGAGGGCTCCTAGTGTCCTGGCCCCACTGGTGGACCTCCTGAGGGCACCTGGTATTTCTGGCCACTGTGTGACACAGAGTGTTGGACTGGATGGGCCTTTGGCCTGATCCAACATTGGCGTCTCTTGTGTTCTTATGTCTGGGGCAGGGGATGCCCTGTCTTCTTGGTGCTGGGGGGGGGGTCAACAGTGGGAGGGCTTCTAGTGTCCTGGCCCCACTGCTAGACCCCAATGGCACCTGAATTTCTGGCTACTGTCTGACACAGAGTGTTGGACTAGATGGGCCACTGGCCTGATCCAACATTGGCTCCTCTTATGTTCTTATGAACTGGATTAACATATGGAGCAGAGATCCATCAGTGGCTATGAGCCACAAGGTATAGATAGGAACTCTTGGTCTGGGGCAAGGGATGCTCTGTATTCTTGGTGCTTGGGGGGGGGGCAAGAGTGGGAGGGCTTCTGGAGTTCTGGCCCCGCTGCTGGACCTCCTGATGGCCCCTGGTATTTTTGGCCACTGTGTGAGAGTGTTGGACTGGATGGGCCATTGGTTCGATCCAACATTGGCTTCTCTGTTATGTTCTTATGGGGCAAGGGATGCACGTCTTCTTGGTGCTGGGGGGGCAACAGTGGGAGGGCCTCTAGTATCCTGGCCCCCCTGCTGGCCCTCCTGATGGCACCTGGTATTTTTGGCCACTGTGTGATACAGAGTGTTGGACTAGATGGGCCACTGGCCTCATCCAACATTGGCTTCTCTTATATTCTTATGTTCAATAGGGTTATCAGTCCTTTTACCCCATGTCAGATTTTTTTAAAAAAAAATTTATTAAGAAACTTTAGAAGTTAACAATGAGTAACAATAAATGTAATCCCTGGGAATACATTTAGCATAGCCGTAAAAGAAGCTAAGGAGTTGCAGTGGCTCAAGAGGTTAAAACGCTGAACTGCAGGCTGTGGAAGGTCAGTAGTTCAGCAGTTCGAGACCCGAGTTGCCCCATGATGGAGTGAGCTCCCGTCTCCAGTTCCAGCTCCTGCCAACCTAGCAGTTTGAAAGCAAGAAACTGCAAGTAGATAAATAGGTACCACTTCGGTGGGAAGGTAACAGTGTTCCGTGTGCCTTGGTGTTTAGTCATGCCGACCACATGACCACGGAAACGTCTTCGGACAGCGCTGGCTCTTCGGCTTGGAAACGGAGATGAGCACCGCAACCCTAGAGTCGGACTCGACTGGCTTTTGAGCAAGGGAACCTTTACCTTTTTAAAAGAAGATAATAATGAACAAAATATATGTTAACACTCAATAATATATAAAACTGACCGTGCAGAAATTTGAACATGCAACTGTGAAAGAAGTTAAAGTTTAAATGCCCATCTAATAGTAATATGATCGAGGAATGGTAAGTTAGTTTAAGCTTCAATAAACTCTGACCAATATAAGGGACCCCAACACGCAGCTGATTCTTGGGTATGATTAGAAGTGAATCCAAGAATGATAACAATGGATTTGCTGGGAGAATATCCTTATCTGCCATGAATTGAAGTACTCGTGACCACGTGGAAACAAAACGAGGAGGGGAGGAAGATGGAGCCGTGTTCGCGGATTGGGTAATTACCCCATGTCAGATGTGCTGGTTTGTATGAAATGAAAACAAGTGAGATGATGCGGTTGTAGAGGTTACAACAGGGGAGTCCCCAAAAATTTTGAGCCTGTGCGCACCTTCGGAATTCTGACACAGGGCGGAGGGTGCAGTTACTAAATGGCTACTGCAGGAGGTGAAGCCAACCACAAAATGGCTGCTACAGGAGGCGGAGCCAAACTACAAAACTACCTAAGGGACCGCCTTTCCCCATATGTTCCCCCAAGGGCACTACGGTCGGGGACACAACATCTCTTGGTGACTCCAGGCCCCAAAGATGCCAGATTTGCTGCAACCAGGACCAGGGCCTTTTTGGTGGCGGCTCCTACCTGGTGGATTGAGCTCCTGGAGGAGATCCGGGCCCCACGGGATCTTTCATAGTTCTGCAGGGCCTGTAAGACGGAGCTCTTCAACCAGGCTTTCAAGTAGGAGCCGCCACCGCTGCACCACCACCACCAATTGGGCTGGGTAATATTTCTGGCTGCAATTGGACGCCAGAAATGGGACGCCGACCCCAAGGACGCCGGGAGGAAGTAGCCGGAGCCAGAAGAACAACTAGCTCGCCACCTGGGTGCTGGTAGGCAGCCCCACCTCCGTACTATGTGGCCTTAGCTTAGGAATTAATTGTATTTGAAATTTGCCTGTAAACTGCTCAGAGACCTCCGGGTCTGAGCGGTATATAAATCAAATGCATAAATAAATAAATAATATCGGGGGGTGAGATGGCCCTGTGACAAATGAACGACAGCGCGGCCTGGAACTGATATCATCGATTTGGGACCACCACCACCCGGATGCCATTCTGTTACTGAAGACCTTTTTGAGACATCAAGACACCTTGTATTGTTATAAATGATTATAAATGATTGTTTTATCTTGTTTTTAACTGTTTTAATTATTGGCATACAGTGGCTCAAGTGGTTAAGACGCTGAACTGCAGGCTGTGGAAGGTCGGTAGTTCAGCAGTTCAAGACTCGGGTGCCGCAAGACGGGGTGAGCTCCCGTCTCTAGTTCCAGCTCCTGCCATCCTAGCAGTTCGAAAGCAAGAAATTGCAAGTAGATAAATAGGTACCACTTCGGTGGGAAGGTATCAGCGTTCCGTGTGCCTTGGTGTTTAGTCATGCCGGCCCCATGACCACGGAAACGTCTTCTGACAGCGCTGGCTCTTCGGCTTTGAAACGGAGATGAGCACCGCAACCCTAGAGTTGGACTTGACTGGCTTTCGAGCAAGGGAAGCCTTTACCTTTACCTTTTACCCAGTCTGTGAATCGCCCTGAGCCCGCTTGTGGGGAGGGCAGGCTATAAATCTAATAATAAATAAATAAATAAATGGCTGCCCCGCGAGGTGGAGCTGCAACCACAGAGGAAGGGAAGAAGAGGGATGGTTTTTAAAACCGCTGTCACTGTACCACCACCGAGTTTCCATCTTCTACGGTGGATTAGATCTGGACGTGAGCCGGCCCTGGGCAGACGCCTAGTTAACCGAAGAATGTTTGTTGTCAGGTTAGGCTGATGAATGGAACTCATCTTGGATTAAGAAAATTTAACATCAAGAGCACCGCACTTTACTTAATGACTGTTTTATACTGTTTAATGATTGTTTTTATGTTGTTTTAATCGCTGTTATGGCAATTGCCTCTGTTGTAGCCGCCCTGAGCCCGTTGGGGAGGGCGGGGTATAAATCTAATAAATAAATAAATAAATAATAAAATACACTAAGAAAGAGGAATGATGGGGAATAAAACCAACACAGGTGGCAACTTTAACTGAAACACTGTTATTTTAGTCTGCACAGCCAACCTCCAATGGCCAAGTCACAGGGTAGTAATGAGACGAAGATAAGACCGTCAGCAAGATGCCAATGTTTTGTTTTCTTTTGTATATGTGTGTGCGCTTGCCTCTGTCATTGTAGCATCATAGATGCGCATGTCTATGCAGCTCGCCGAAACAATTATCTCGCCCAAGGCCACAGGTGGACGCAAGAGCTTGTTAGTGTAGAGAAGTTCTCATTAGACACCGTGAGAAGAAGATAACATGAGAAGCCTGGGGCTGTTAGTTCTCAGGCCCAAAGGCGCGCGCGGGAACCCCCGCAATTGGCCCATAGTAGTTTGAATGTTTATTATATGCTGTGCCACTGCTTTTACCCTTCATTCTGAACAGTGATCCTGTTATGCACCTTCAGCTCTAATAAAGTTACCTTTTCTCCAAAAGCGTGCTTATTATGAGGCAAGGAGGAGTCTGACAGACCCCCGAGATCACACCAGCCATCGATGCCATCCTGGAAGGACACAAGTCCGAAGAACGAACAGAATACAGAAATCTTCTTGAAACTCTTTATTTTCCCAAAGTTGGAAAGTAACTAAGAGCGCGAGAGAGAGAGAGAGAGAGAGAGACTCCATTTCCAATTAAAGAGAACCCTCTGAGCTTTGCCCACCCCGGCCTCAAAATGGCCCTCGCTGCCACCCTTAGAGCCAGGTTACGGAAGAGAGGAGGCGGCGAGGCAGTGACGCCATGCCCCACATGTCTGAATGTGCCCCACCCTGCAAACCCACGCTTGAAAACTCAGCATCAACAGCCCCCCCTGTTGGAAGAAGGGAGTCCCCGGAGCCCTTCCAGGAGAAAACTTGGACCTGCTCGCTCTGCAGCAGCGTGGGGTGAAGAAGAACCTTGTTTGCTCCATCCAGGCAGAGCCCCGGATCGTGGCCTGGCAGTCCTAGGCAGGCAGCGAGCCACTGTGGGAAACGGTGCCACTCTGGACAGGCCGCGCCACGTGCCTCGAAGGTGGCGTCTGGCATGGTGGGTCTCCAAATCAAACCCAACAAGAAACCGTGTACAAATTGAAGACCAATGTAACACCTGGTATCAGACTCTTTATCCAAGCACTATATGAGGTGTATCCTGAGCTAACGCCAACAGGTTTAGGTACAGCTTGTTTATGTATAAAGGAATAATCGGAGTTGGAGAGATTGCTTTACATTTCATGTATTTATATACTTTAGTTGCTGTAGATCTTCTGGGCTGTGTGGCCGTGGTCTTGGCCTTGTAGGACCTGGCGTTTCGCCAGCAGCTGTGACTGGCATCCTCAGAGGTATAACACAGACAGATGGAGTGCTCTCTGGGTCAAGGTGTACTCACTGTGTCAAGTACATCCTCACTGGCATCCTTAGAGGTATAACACAGAAAGATGGAGTACTCACTGTGTCAAGGTGACTTGACAAAGAGAGTACTCCATCTTTCTGTGTTCTACCTCTGAGGATCCAAGCCACAGCTGCTGGCGAAACGCCAGGTCCTACAAGGCCAAGACCACGGCCACACAACCCGGAAAATCCACAGCAACTAATGAACTCCGGCTGTGAAAGCCCTTGACAACATATTTATACACTGCATATTTTGGACTTGTAGTAGTATTCGTTCTTCAGCTTTGTGCTTTATAAATCATGAGTTACATTTATCTTGGGATTTATACACGGTTTTTTCTTGGGTTTGATTTTCAGACGGTGTACCTCCTTGTTGTGTGGTAGGTCTCCGGGCGGCGCGGGGCTCAATCGCAGTGCAGGCTTTGCAAAGGGACAGAAACAATGACGGAAGCAGGGAGGGGAAAACAGCAACAACCAAAGAGGTGACAATGTCCATTCCCCTCCAAGTAGCTCTTTTGCAGAAACAGGAGGGGGGAGTCCACAGCAGGAGACCAAAAGGGCTGTCCTATGTGGCCGGCACGCTCTGTTTGATGATGATCTTCTGCCTGGTGGCCCGGACGCTGGGGTCGGTCACCGGGGGGCCGACCCCGAGTGCCGCCGCGGCCGCTGCCGCGTTTGGCAAGCCATGGGCGGTGATGTACTTCTTGTACGCTTCGCGGATGATCTTGAAGGCCCGGATGTTGGAGTAGGGGATGTCGGTGATGGGGTCGCGGTAGATGGCGGCCTTGTGGGTGACGGGGCAGATCTCCTTGACGGGCAGCTTGGGGGCGCGGGACTTCGGGAACAAGCGCTCGAAGGTCTCGTCGTCGCTGAAGGTTATGAACGTGCGGGAGCATTTCGCAGCCGGAGCGGAAGCGGCAGGTAGAGCCTCCGAGGGCAGCTGCGCGTCCTGGTCCAAACTGAGAAGCGGGTGAGAATTAGGGAGGGTCGAGACGCTAAATGACATCTCCTCTTGACTCTCTTCCTAAAGGGCGTCTTTTTAAACTTATCGTTTCTTGAAAGTTTTCCAAAACAGGACGGCAATAACAAGAGGAGCCTCTCCCCCATAAAAAAAATCCCCCCTCCGTTTACATGATCAGTGTACGGATTGTGTAGGGTACCAACTGCTACGGAAAAGGCATTCCGCACATGCCACAAAGCATTTCATTATTTCACATCTCCTGGGCATTTTCCCCTCTAAGTTGAGTTGGTGTGAGCTAGCTCACAGTTTTTTAGCCTCCAGTTCATGCATTTCGGTCTTAGCTTGGGAAGGATGACTCCAGAGCAAAGGAACTGATGCAGCAGCCAGATCGCCTGCTCACAGCTTTCATGCCAGGAGCTCACAAAGTCGAATTTTTGCTCACAAGACTCCACAGCTTAGAGGGAGCGTTGCCCCCCACACACCCCAGTGACCCCTGCTCCATGCCCAGAAGAGCATGATCTACCATGCGTGACAGCACGCTTAAAGCTCCTACCCCGAAAATCTGGACTCGAAGGGAACTGAAAACAAATCAGCCAGCATCATCATGCCCCTGTATGAATCGATGGTGCGGCCTCATTTGGAGGACTGTGTACAGTTCTGGTCACCCAAACCTCAGAAAGGATATTATAGCATTGGGAAAAGTGCAGAAAAGGGCAACTTGAATGATCAAAGGGTTGGAACACTTTCCCTATGAGGAAAGGTTAAAGCGCTTGGGGCTCTTTAGCTTGGAGAAACGACGGCTGAGGGGGTGACATGATCGAGGTTTACAAGATTATGCGTGGGACAGAGCAGGTAGAGAAAGAAGGACTTTCCTCCCTTTCTCATAAAACAAGAACTCGTGGGCAACAGTGCCCCCTGTACAACAACATAATGCCCCTGTATGAATCGATGGTGCGACCTCATTTGGACTACTGTGTACAGTTCTGGTCACCACACCTCAGAAGGGATATTATAGAAGAAGAAGAGATTGGATTTATACCCCGCCCTTCACTACCCAAAGGTGTCTCAGAGCGGCTTACAAACTCCTTTCCCTTCCCCTCCCCACAACAGACACCCTGTGAGGCAGGTGGGGCTGAGAGAGCTCTTGACAGAAATGGCTCTTTTTCAAGGACAGCTCTTATCAGAACTACGGCTTGCCCAAGGTCATTCAGCCATGTGCAAGTGGAGGAATGGGGAATCAAACCCGGTTCTCCCAGATTAGAGTCCGCGCACTTCACCACTACACCAAACTGGCTCACTGGAAAAGTGCAGAATAGGGCAACTGGAATGATAAAAAGGTTGGAACACTTCCCCTATGAAGAAAGGTTCAAGCGCTTGGGGCTCTTTAGCTTGGAGAAACGATGGCTGAGGGGTGACATGATCGAGGTTTACAAGATTACGTGTGGGACAGAGCAGGTAGAGAAAGAAGGACTTTGCTCCCTTTCTCACAAGACAAGAACTCGTGGGCACCAGTGTTCCCTCTAAGCTGAGTCAGTGTGAGCCAGCTCACAGTTTTTTACCCTCCAACTCACACATTTCTGTCTCAGCTCAGGAAGGAGAGCTCCAGAGCAAACTAATTGATGCAGCAGCCCAATCGCTTGCTGACAACTTTAATGCCGGTAGCTCACAAAGGAGAATCTTTGCTCACAAGACTCCAAAGCTTAGAGGGAGCATGACTCCTGGGGTCTTTTCTTTATTTTTTGGCTACGATCTTCAAGGCAAGAGATGTTCAGAGGTGGTTTGCCATTGCCTGCCTCCACGCCATAGCCCTGGTATTCCTTGATGGTCTCCCATCCACATACTACCCTGCCCGGCTTCCAAAATCTGATGCGATCGGGCTAGCCTGGGCTACCCAGGTCAGGGCAGGTACCGGGACCGTATCCTGGTGCTAAAGGGACAAGAGTCTAGGGCCAAGCCCTGGCCTGTTTGTAGGAGAGCTTATGTGATGGGACGGAAGCACATAACAGGGTAGGTGTCTTCTCAGCCACTGATTCTGCACTCTGCAGGGAGGGGTGGTAGAAATAAGGCTTCATCAAGGCTGGCAAGCAGCACTTTGTGTTCTTGTCCATGACAGTGGACAGTGTTAACAAACCAGGAAAGGACTTCTGTCTTTGTACTTTTAGACTGGGTGGGTGGGGCCGTGGCTCAGTGGCAGAGCCTCTGCTCGACATGCAGAAGGTCCCAGGTTCAGTCCCCGGCATCTCCAGCAAAAAGGACCAGGCAGGAGGGGATGGGAAAGACCTCTCTGCCTGAGACCCTGGAGAGCTGTAAAGAGGGGCTGTGGCTAAGTGGAAGAGCCTCTGCTTGGCACGCAGGAGGTCCCAGGTTCTATTACCCAGCATCTCCAGTTAAAAAGGACCAGGCAGGAGGGGATGGGAAAGACCTCTGCCTGAGACCCTGGAAAGCTGTAAAGAGGGGCTCTGGCTCAGTGGTAGAACATTTGCTTGGCACGCAGGAGGTCCCAGGTTCAATCCCCGGCATCTCCAGTTAAAAGGACCAGGCAGGAGGTGATGTGAAAGACCTCAGCCTGGGACCCTGCAGAGCTGTCAAGAGGGGCTGTGGCTCAGTGGCAGAGCCTCTGCTTGGCATGCAGGAGGTCCCAGGTTCAATCCCCGGCATCTCCACTTAAAAGGACCAGGCAGTAGGTGATGTGAAAGACCTCAGCCTGGGACTGTAGCTAAGTGGCAGAGCCTCTGCTTGGCAAGCAGAAGAAGAGAAGAAGAGATTGGATTTATACCCCACCCTTCACTACCCAAAGGTGTCTCAGAGCGCTTACAAACAACAGACACCCTGTGAGGTCGGTGGGGCTGAGAGAGCTCTTGACAGAAACTGCTCTTTTTCAAGGACAGCTCTTATGTTAACTACGCCTTGCCCAAGGTCCCAAGTTCAATCCCTGGCATCTCCAGTTAAAAGGACCAGGCAGCAGGTGATGTGAAAGGCCTCTGCCTGAGACCCTGCAGAGCCACTGCTGGTCTGGGTAGACAAGACTGATCTCGATGGACCAAGGTCAGTCTAAGGCTGCTTCCTGTGACAATCCCTGCTCAGGGCCCAGAAGGTCATGGGCACAAAATACTCTCTCTCTCTACAAGCCTCATCGGTCCCCCACCCCACCCCGCCCCCCAAGGCCTGGCCAAACCTACCCCTCGACATCCACGTTCTCTTCCTTGCAGCCCAGGTCAGAGATGAGGGGCATGGCCCCCGAGTAGTAGCGGATGGTCGGCCCCAGGCACTTGCGCTTCTTCTGGACCTGCCGCTTCTTGTCTGCCTCAAGGCGCTCGTAGGTCTCTGCGCAACGACCGGGAGAGAGGGAAGGGAAGAGGGCGGATGAGCTCCCACGATTCCTTTCTCCATGAATGGGAGCCTGGCCTAGTCCAAAAGCAGGTGAGCGGAAAGCCCTGAGCTGTGTACGGCTGCCGGGACCCCCCGGCCACCAGTGAGGGCGGAGTGGGAGGGGAGGGTTGCCAGCTCAAGGTTGGGAAACTCCTGGAAGTTTGGGGATGGAGCTCTGGGGAGGACGGGGAGCTTGGTGGGGGACAACGAATCGTAGCATTGGAAGGGACCTCCGGGGTCATCTAGTCCAACCCCATGCACAATGCAGGAAATTCACAAATACCTCCCCCCACCACCAGTGTTCCCTCTAAGCTGAATTAGTGTGAGCCAGCTCATTGTTTTTTAGCCTCCGGCTCACAGATTTTTGTCTCAGTTCAGGAAAGACGGCTCCAGAGCAAACTAATTGATGCAGGAGCCAAATCGCTCGCTCACAACTTTAATGCCAGGAGCTCACAAAGTCGGATTTTTGCTCACAAGACTCCACAGCTTAGAGGGAGCATTGCCCCCCCACACACACCCAGTGACCCCTGCTCCATACCCAGAAGAGCAGGAGGGAGGGGGAAAAACAATCTTCCAGGTTCCCTGACCAAACTGGCCTTGAGAAAAATGGCTTCGTGACCCCAAAGTGGCGATCGGCATAGTCACAAATACCTCCCCCACAAACCCCCAGTGATCCCCTGCTCCATGAACAGAAGATGGCAAAAAACCTCCAGGATCTCCAGTCAAACTGGCCTGGAGAAAAATTGCTTCCTGACCCTAAAGTGCCAGTCGGCATATTCACAAATACCTCCCCCCCACACACACACTCAGTGACCCCTGCTCCATGCCCGGAAGAGCAGGAGGGGAAAAAGACAATCTTCCAGGATCCCCGGTCAAACTGGCCTGGAGGGAAATGGTTTCCTGACCCCAAAGTGGTGATCAGCATTCCCCTGGCATGTAAGAAGCGGCCACAAGAATGGGCCACAAATGCCACGGAGCCCACCCTCCAAAGCATCCTTTAATCCGGGGGAACAGATCTCTGTAGTCTGGAGATGAGCTGGAATTCTGGGGGACCCCCAGCTCCCGCCTGGAGGCTGGCATCCCTAGCCTTGTGTAGATATGGTCGCCGATGTCCTAGGTCTGGAATATGGAGGGGTGCCCTCCCGTTTTCTGTCTCACCTCTCCCTGGCTCCTCACCAACTGTTTGCTATCTTAGGCTTGACCTTGCCGATGCTCCAGCTCCACTTTTACTCGGCTGGGAAAGTTAGAAGAGAAAGAAGAAGAAATTGGATTTATACCCCGCCCTTCACTAAATCCAATCTCTTCTTCTCTTCCTCTTCTTCTGTTCACTGGACCTCCAGTATCTGAGACAGGAGGCTGGACTGGGTGGACCCTCCCTGGTCTGACCCAGCAGGGCTCTTCTGGTGTCCTTCTCAGGGTAAGGCCTCGGCCTCTCTGCCCTGTTTGTTGGCCCTCCAGGGGAACTGGTTGGCCCTTGTGTGAGACAGGAGGCTGGACTAGAGGGACCCTCCCTGGTCTGACCCAGCAGGGCTCATCTGGCGTTCTTCTCAGGGGAAGGCCTCGGCCTCTCTGCCCTGTTGCTGGCCCTCCAGAGGAACTGGTTGGCCACGGTGTGAGACAGGAGGCTGGACTAGGTGGACCCTCACTGGTCTGACCCAGCAGGGCTCTTCTGAGGTTCTCCTCAGGGGAAGGCCTCGGCCTCTCTGCCCTGTTGCTGGCCCTCCAGAGGAACTGGTTGGCCCCTGTGTGAGGCGGGAGGCTGGACTGGATGGACCCTCCCTGGTCTGACCCAGCAGGGCTCTTCTCAGGTTCTTCCGACTTTTCAAAAAAAAAAAAAACCCACACTTCGCCCGCGGTTGCCTAGTCCCTTTCCTGCCAGGCTCCGGGTCCAGACTCACCCAGAGAGCGCAGGTTGATCTCCTCCGTTATCTTGGCCTCTTCCAGCAGCTCCTCCTGGCTGAGCAGCCGGTCGTGGCTCGGGCCGCCCCCCTTCTTGCGCTTGGACTGCACCTGGCGCTCCTGCACGCGGAGGAAGGTCTGGCGCGTGTGCTCCGTCGTCGACTGGCGCATGTGCTTACGGCCTGGAGAGGGGGCGTGAGGGGAAGAGTTCAAATTGGTGAGCAGATTAGCTTGCAATTTTGTGTGTTTTTCAAAAACAAAAACCAGAGGTGGCCACCTGGCTACTCACTGTCTCCTGCTTCGTCCTGGAGCTCGGCCGGTGTGGATCGTTCCTCCCTCGCCTTCTGGGAGCTGCTGGCAGGCGTTTCCAGCTTCTTGGTCCTCAGGCTTTTAATGGGTTCCTACGGCAGAAGTTTTCATCAGTGAAAAAGCGTGGTGTAGTGGCTGGGAGTGGTGGACTCTGATCTGGAGAACTGGGTGCGACTCTGCACTCCTCTACGTGAAGCCCGCTGGGCAACCTTCGGCCAGTCACAGCTCTCTCAGCCCAAAAATAAATCGAGCTCGCTAATAGCAGAGCTAGAACGTATGGCTGCCAGACAGTCTTAGGGTCTCCTGGCTATACTCCACACCATAATGAATAGATAGAACTACTGCAAATGTGCAAGCAACAATTGTAATAGTAATTATTATAGTCACTCCTAAGTGTATACAAAATTACAGTAACGATAGCTATTTAACAGATGGACAAAAATCTCCGGAATAGGGGGTTTCGTTTCGTAGAGACTTCTTCCTACATCAAAAGTTCATAAAGAAGTATCCTTTCGAAGTCACAAACATTGCAATATGGTCTCATAGACATCTTGAATGAAAGCTACAAATGTTTTGGGAACGGAGAATCAACTTGGAATGTTTGTGACTTCGAAAGGATACTTCTTTATGAACTTTTGATCTCTCTATCTATCTGTCTATCTATCTATTCATTTTGGCTTGTAATACTGCTACCCCTTATACATTTGCATATACTCCACACCATGCCATAGAGGAGGAAGAGGAGGAAGAGGAGGAGGAAGAGGAGGAGACTGGATTTATACCCTGCCCTTCACTACCTGAAGGAGTCTCAGAGCGGCTTACAATCTCCTTTCCCTTCCCCTCCCCACAACAGACACCCTGTGAGGTAGGTGGGGCTGGGAGAGCTCTTTCAAGGACTGCCCTTGAGAGAACAGCTCTGAAAGAACTTGGCACTGGCCCAAGGTCACACCAGCAGCTGCACGTGGAGGAGGAGTGGGGAATCAAACCCAGTTCTCCCAGATTAGATTCCGCGCACTTAACCACGACACCAAACAGGAAGAGGAGGAGGAGAGCTGCCACCCAACCTGAACCAAAGAGCAGCTTTGCCTTCAGTCTGGGAATGCGAAATGCCAGTGCACCAGAAGGGCTTCCAGAAGATAAACAAGTCCAAGGCCCATCAGTATTGGAGTTGAACTGGACTGTGCCAACGTGTAGTGGACAGAGTTCTGCCTGACCCTCTTACGTACCTTGTAGGCTTTGGTGACTACTCTGCGCTTCCTCTTGGGCCCCTCGTCATCCTGGTCACTGCTGGGCTCGTCCCCTTCGTCAATGTCAAAATCGGAGTCGACTTCGTCATCGCTGTCCGACTGGTCGCCTTTGTACTCGTCGTCCCCCGACTCCTGTCAAAGAGACCAGCGAGGCACCTGGCTGTTAGTGAAGGGCAGGTGCCCTTGACCAAACCCAAACCCCCATCACCCCTGGAAGCTTGTTTATATTGGATCAGACCCTCGGTCGATCAAGGTCAGTACTGTCTGCTCAGCCTGGCAGCAGCTCTCCACGTCTCAGGTATTGTCTACTCAGATGGGTGGTGGCTCTCCAGGGTCTCAGGAAGAGAGGTCTTTCCCATCACCTACTGCCTGGTCCTTTTAACTGGAGATCTCAGGGACTGAATGTGGGACCTCCTGCATGCCAAGCAGAGGCTCCACCACTGAGCCACAGCCCCTCTTTACAGCTCTCCGGGGTCTCAGGTGGAGGTCTTTCCCATCACCTCCTGCCTGGTCCTTTTAACTGGAGATCTCAGGGACTGAACGTGGGACCTTCTGCATGCCAAGCAGATGTTCTACCACTGAGCCATGTCCCCTCTCCACGGCTCTCCAGGGTCTCAGGTGGAGGTCTTTCACATCACCTACTGCCTGGTCCTTGTAACTGGAGATGCCGGGGATTGATCCTAGGACCTTCTGCATGCCAGGCACATGCTCTGCCACTGAGCTATGGACCCTCTCCATGGCTCTCCAGGGTCCTAGGCAGAGGCCTTTCCAATCACCTCCTGCCTGGTCCTTTCCACTGGAGATGCCACAGGGGATTGAACTTGGGGCTTTCTGCATGCCAAGCAGAGGCTCTACCACTGAGTCACAGCCCCCTCCCCTCCACCAGCCATCAGCATGGCCCTGTTTTGTCAGTCCCCTCCAAAAACCTCACCGTCTACATCCTCTTTGTTGGAAAAGCCACTATCTGGTGTACAAAGAGGAAGAGGAAAATACTTGCAGGGGGCAACAAGAAGGCAATTAGATAGGACAGCAAGGTCAGCACCGTCTCTCTCCTGTTGTCATTCCTTGTCTGTCTCCAGATTGCTGCTCTTACGGTAATTTCCTCCTCCTTCTTGGAAGTGCCACACTCAGTCTTACTCTCTCTCTCAGCAAGTGATATACTTAGGAACCACTCTCTGTCTCTCCTCTTTCCTATCAAGTATGTTAGTTCCTAAATAAGCTCTGATCTACTCGGGGGTCATTTCGTAGAAAAAGAGGTGCAGGAGCTCATTAGCACAACTCATTTGCATATGCCACACCCCCTGACATCACCGGAAGTGTGTCAGAAGGCAACACCCACCGCTCAGGCTCCACTGGACTGTTTTGGATTGCTAGCTATTGGGGGAGACGGGATGCGGAGATCCTCGTGCTCCTTGTGGCCCGGGGCTGCTGGGAGCAGGGGCGGGGCTCATTGCATGTGCCCACCCCCTGGGCTCTTTACTGCCGGAGCTCCGCTCCCGTGCGCTCCTGCAGGAAATTACCCCTAGATCTACTGTCTAATCAAGTTGTGCACCGTTGCTGTGTTAACTGCTCTGTCAACACTCTCTCCACGTCACACCCCCACAAGAAGACAATCAGGTTGGTTGGTGTCTTGGTTGTTGTTGGTGGAAACCATCAAGTCATAGCCGACGGATGGTGAGTGACCCCATAGGGTCTTCAAGGGCAGAGACTTTCAGAGGTGGTTTGGCATTGCCTGCTTCTGCATAGTGATTGTTGATCTCTGACATAACACTGCACCCCAGGAAAAGGATTCTGTCAGTTAACTCCATGTTTTAGCGAAGCAAAATGTTACCCATCTCAGTTTATAACTTTTAACAATTAAGAATATAATTGAATATGGAATGTAATTTGGAATGGTAGATTTAAATGCAATTCTCTATTCAGGGGACAAGAAAAATACCCTACACGGCCAAGATGCTGTAAAGTTTGCCTCCATGCTAGAAAGGAGATGGATGGGATCAAATAAATGAATTCTCACAATTTAGGGTACATCAATCTCCAGTACCTATGTTGCTTTCCCCCACAGTTGAACCAAAACAGATAATAACCAGAAACCAAGCCTGTCATTCTTTTTATCTGTTAAAAACAGTTCTTCACCCAAAGAGTGATTAACACATGGAATTCACTGCCACAGGAAGTGGTGGCGGCTACAAGCATGGACGGCTTCAAAAGGGAATTAGATAAGCATATGGAGCAGAGGTCCATCAGTGGCTATTAGCCACAAGGTATAGATAGGGGCTCTGGGGCAAGGGATGCTCTGTCTTCTTGGTGCCTGGGGGGGGGGTCAACAGTGGGAGGGCTCCTAGTGTCCTGGCCCCACTGCTGGACCTCCTGATGGCACCTGGTATTTCTGGCCACTGGGTGACCCAGAGTGTTGAACTGGATGGGCCTTTGGCCTGATCGAACATTGGCATCTCTTATGTTCTTATATTATGTTACTTTTTTGCCTGCTGATTTAACAAGCCACCTTGTATATATAGAGGTATGATCTATTATTCCATTTCATCGTCTGACACAGTGTGCGTGCACATAGAAGCTCACACTTTGAATAAAACTTTGTTGGTCTTAAAGGTGCCACTGGACTCTAACTTTGGTCTCATGGAATATAGGTCTATCAGTGGCTTCTGGCCATGTTGACTAAAGGGAACTTCCACATTCAGAGGCAGCCAACCTCTGAATACCATCTAGTCCAGCATCCTGCCTCATACAGTGGCCAAACAGTTCCTCTGGAGGGCCAACAACAGGGCAGAGAGGCCGAGGCCTTACCCTGAGAAGAACCTCAGAAGAGCCCTGCTGGGTCAGACCAGTGAGGGTCCATCCAGTCCAGCATCCTGTCTCACACAGTGGCCTCAACCAGTTCCTCAGGAGGGCCAACAACAGGGCTAGATCCACAACGGCGGTTCTTGTATGCTCAGCTAGTTCCATCAGCTGACTACCTAAATCAATCTAGCTAGTATATTTTCATGTCCACCCTTCCTTCACGGAGCTCAGGGTGGTCTACCTAGCTCCACAGCTCATTCTCACAACTCTGCAAGTTAGGCTGAAGCAAAAACAATTGACTCAGGCCAGTAGCCGTGTTGGATTGAAGGAACAGAACAAAGTTTGGGCCCAGGGGCACCTTTAAAACCAACAACATTTAATTCTGGGTAGAAGCTTCAGTGTGCATGCACACGTCTGAAGAAGTGTCTGAAGGAACAGAACAAAGTTTGGGCCCAGGGGCACCTTTAAGACCAACAACATTTAATTCTGGGTAGAAGCTTCGGTGTGCATGCACACATCTGAAGAAGTGTCTGAAGGAACAGAACAAAGTTTGGGTCCAGGGGCACCTTTCAGACCAACAACGTTTAATCCTGGGTAGAAGCTTTCACGTGCACACACACTTCTTCAGATACACACAAAAGCTTATACCCAGGATCAGTGTTCCCTCTAAGCTGAGTTCGTGTGAGCTAGCTCACAGTTTTTTAGCCTCTGGCTCTCACATTTTTGTCTTCGCTCGGGAAGGAGGGCTCCAGAGCAAATTGGTTGATGCAGTACGCAAATCACCTGCTCACAACTTTAATGCCGGTAGCTCACAAAGCAGGATTTTTGCTCACCAGACTCCACAACACAGAGGGAGCAATGCCCAGGATTAAACTTTGTTGTTCTTAAAGATGCCACTGGAGTCATACTTTGCTCCAAGGCCACCACCAAGTGAACCTCCATGAACAAATGCAGGCTACCTCTCAAATCCATACGCTTTTAGGGGTCAGTCAACAGTGGTGGCTCAAGTGGTTAAGACGCTGAACTGCAGGCTGTGGAAGGTCAGTAGTTCAGCAGTTCAAGACCCGGGTGCCGCAAGACAGGGTGAGCTCCTGTCTCTAGTTCCAGCTCCTGCCAACCTAGCAGTTCAAAAGCAAGAAATTGCAAGTAGATAAATAGGTACCACTTTGGTGGGTAGGGAACAGCGTTCCGTGCGCCTTGGTGTTTAGTCATGCCGGCCACATGACCACGGAAACGTCTTCGGACAGCGCTGGCTCTTCGGCTTTGAAACGGAGATGAGCACCGCAACCCTAGAGTCGGATTCGACTGGCTTTCGAGCAAGGGAACCTTTACCTACTGCCTCCATGCTCTCCTTCTACACTGCAAGACTGGGGGAGATCTCTTAGCTGCCCCTCGTTGGAAGCAGAACGCCGGGGCTTCGCTTACATTCTCGCACGCCTGTCAACTATGCTAACCCATGGGTTCGCTGGCCCGTCCGTCAATCCCCCTGTCAGCCAATCAGGAGCA